GGAAAGTCCAAGTGAAAAAAAAAAAAGAAAAGAAAAGGAAAGGCCAAAATTATAGAAGGAACGCGAAAACATTACCAGCGGAGCTAAGTGACTTGTGCCTGACAAGGGCATTAGCTGTCATTTCACCTCGATCTACAGATACCAAGTGAGTCTGCTCAACTATGCCATCCTGAGCCTCTGAAATTACTCCCTGAATTGTACCATCACTAATAAGAAATCTTTTATTTTCTTCCGTATTAAAGACAGTTATTTCTTCTTCTGCCTTGTTATGAATGATAAAACTGCCACAGCATACCTGAGCATTTTCACCAATGTCTGCCACAAATGGTCTTCCTTCAACTAATGTTCTGCCTTCAGATCTATAAGACAACTCGCCAATTTCATTAACTTTGGTAATACCATCGGAAGATCTATTCTGGTTTTGTCCACCAGAATCAGAACCATAAGACCCAACAGTGAATGAGTTGTCAAAACCAGATTCCTGATGGACCGAAGATGGCCTCCTCTCGTGTGCTATTCCATTAATCACATCAAACTGTTCACTGGATGGGTTACCAGACTTCTGATGTAGTAACTCCATTAGCAAGCGCTTAGAACTGTCATCATCATTTGCTCCAGCAGACATCCAAAAACTAGATTCTTCAATACTCCTTTTAGCATCCAATTCCCTAATGTGTCTCTCATTACGAAGATGCAGCTGTTGCATTCTTGACTCCATCCAGTCGCTCGACAATTGACCATTATCCTCTGGCCAAATACTGTCTGTTGTATCCAAGCGTGAAGCTTGAAATTGATTTGGAACTAAAGGGTGGTTTGAATGCTGAGAATAAACATTCATTGATAAACCACCAGGTTGTAGCCGGGCAATCTGTTCCTGCATTTCTAAACCTTGAGGTCTAGTCATGGAATTCACAAAATCACGATTCAATCCACCATCCACAGGCAATGGCATCGGACGATCGAAAGGTAACATGCCGTGCTCATAAAGGCCATGTTGAAGTCTATCTTGTACTGAAGGATTCCTACTGTCGGAAGATGGCACTTGCTGGGAATAGAAGTCCAAATGTCCAAACCCAGCAGATACAGCTCTACTAGAAGGAACAGGATTCCTGTGGAACTGGCCTGCTTCATCAAATGACCATCCAGGATTAATTTGCTTTTCTTCTTCCATATCCAGTCGTTGCCTCAGCCCCAACGGCAACTGCTGCCTCCCATGTAGCTGATCTTGCTGAATAATCTGTTGTTCAAGGGAGTGAACCTCACCAAGTCTTCCCTGAGATAAAAGCTCCAACATATCATTTTGATGTCCTTGATGGGGTATTTGACCAAATTTTGCTTGAATTAGCTGCTCAAGTGATGGATCCAGATGCCTTGGGAATTGGGAATGCTGCTGCAGATCATTTAGGATTTGTTGCTTCAGTATCGCTTGAGCAGCACCAGACCTGAGAGTCTCAAGACGTGACTGCCCACGACCAGACTCGAGCATTTGACTATGCAGTAGCTGCTCAAAAAGAACTTGCCTCGCCTGAGACTGATGTTGCTCTTTCAACAGCATTTGTTGTTGATGGAACTGCTGTTGTTGTAGTTGTTGCTGCTGCTGTTGAAGCTGCATCTGCCTCTGCTGTTGCAACTGCATGGCCAGGATATGTTCCATATCTTGCCCCGACTGAATGGCAAGCTGCTTGTGGTGCATCAATTTCGAGATGGGCCCCCCGTCAAGCATTGCTTCATTCAAGTGTCTATTATTTGATAGCATCACATTATGTGGCTGAAGATGCTGCTGCAGCTGAAGTTGGGGCAACAGCTTCTCTGTTAACCCATAATGGTTGTATTCTTGGTTCACTCTTGAAACATGGCCAGTATCAATAACGCCATGGTACACTTTGGAATCAGAAAGTGCACTGCTGCTATAACTATCATTCCATCCCTCAGGGGCATGACTAAGATTAGCCATTGCACCAAAATGATCAAGGCCTCCAGAAACAGGGTTTACAAATTTATCTGGTGCAACCCCACTGAATATGGGTGTCTGATCATTCCTCGAGGACGTACTCTCAAGCTCAGACCATAACAAACCAAGAGGATGCAAAATACTATCCTTTTTATTAGACACAACAGAATCTGTCATTTCAATGGTATGATAAGTTTGGTTGCCACTGCTTGTAGCATGTTCAGCATACCCTCTGGACATCTGTCCTATATCAGTGCTGCCATTTCCAGGTCTTTGAGGTAACAAAATTTCTGTTCAAAGAGAATTTACAGCAAACAATCAGAATTAAATGAATTCTATATGATAAAGAAACTAGTGAACCAAACAACTATGAGTCTACCTTCATCCAGTGCACCAAAATCATGAGAATCGTCTCCCTGAGTGTACAAGTGTTGTGACGGCTGACATTGATGTTCACTTGCTCCAGGATGAGCTTGCTGTGGAGGGATAGCATCAAAATCAGACAACTGCCAGCCTGAGCCATCTATTACATTGGAAGGATCCGATGCAGGAACAGAACGTAATGTTTCCAATGTACCCTCCATAATGGCAGATTTCTCTAAAATATTGGAACTTAAATTAGCTTCACTATCGTACTCATTTCGAAATTTCAGATGAGGCATCACATCTCCCAATTTTTGGAAAGGTGCCTCATCAGGAGCATCTTCAAAACGGACAGGTAAATCAGTCCCAAAAAATCCTTGCTCAAACCATGAAATGATATCCACACCAAGAAAAGGGCCCTGGATTTCTCCTTGAGGATCCTGATAGTATAAACTTAGTTCCTCGGGAGGAATCCCTCTATCTAGCGGATACTCATTTGCTCCACTCCCAATATTGGGTAGCTGACCACCCCAATGGTTCTGAGATGATGCCAAAGAGTTCCCCTCACCAAGAAGGTTATTATTAGCATCGAATAATATGGCAGATTTGACACTGTCGAACATAGCCACTGGAACTTCATATTTCTCTTCACCATCTGCAGATTTCTCTGAGGTACAGTTGAAAATGGTCTTTTAGGTTTTTAACCCGGAAAAGTGAAAAAGAAAGATAAAAAAAAAAAAAAAAAAAAAAAAAAAAAAAAAAAAAAACTACAACACTTTAAATGAGCAATCACACCAAATAAATACCTTTTCTTGGTGAAGTATGGTAGAAGACGTTATCAACACTGTATTCATGAATATCAAATGAAGTTTTCTGGAAGTTGGGCAACTCTTCATCGACGTCAGCAGAGGACGCTGGCCTTCCCTCATTGATTTCATTGTCCCCCAATTCTAGATAAATATAGAAGAAGGAACAGTAATATAAGCAACAGGCAAGTATAATTGAATCTAGGTGATCTGCAAGATGTTAGAACATTGTCACCTTCCACAGAGTGTCACTCGTAAATTACCTGACATGTTTTCAGATAACCTGCCCTTCTCAAGTGAACTGTAAGAGGCTCCACTGCTTGTTAACTTACCAGTCCATATGTCATTCAAGATGGCCTGTAACAGAGAGGAACTCGTAACATTTCAAATGATGGTATTCATGCATAATAGAAACTAATAAGTCAATAAATAGTCTCACCTTCTGCTCGGTATCAGGAGCAACAAAAGCTAAAGGCTCAACATTCTCCAACTGGCTTACAGCGGGTACTTTCTCAAAATTATCAGGCATGTGGGCAAGAGAAGCATCCAGCTTTTGCTTGCGATATATGTCGAGAAGTTTGCCCCTAGGGTAAACAAATGTTCTATCAAGAATTGTTTTCCCAAGAACATTTCCATTCTTGTCATATTCCGGAACACCAATTGGACTTGCAAATGGACTTCTTATAACAGAAACACTTGACCTGCCACGCCCTATGGTAAAGCCCACATTCGACCCCTCAACTCGTCCCTTTTCAATGCCAAATCCCGGTGCAGCACGATAACCAGACCCACCTGGATTTCCATCCATCCTGTGTCGCGGCCTCCACTTATCACGGGAATCTGAATCACGTTCAGGAACAGAACGGGTATTCGAAACAAATGATTGACCTTCAGTCTGCGGCTCTTCCTTCTCCATCTCTGTCTTTCTCTCCACCCGAATATCCTTTTCTTTGTCATCAGGACCCCACCTTAAGGACCATTTGCTGTCACGCCTCTGTTCATGTCCAGAATTGCGACCACTAGCATCATTCCACCTCTCAGTGGCAGGCAAAGATCTATTGTCAGTTGATTCTCTGGCTGGAGCATTTTCAACGCGTCTCTCCATCTTCCTGCGATCCCTTCGACCAAGCAATCCAGTTTCCCTTTCTTCTTCACGCCAGCGGCGCACTCCCTCAGGTTCATGACCAACTTTTCTCCTGTCTTTTTTTTCCTCTATCACATCTGAGCGCCAAACCTCCTTCTGGTTCACATCAGCAGAACTTCCAAGGGATAAAGAGCTTGGCCCACGGGTCTCCTGGCAAACAGAAGAATACCACGAATGATGGATCATGATATTAACAGAGAATAGTCATGAAAGGAAGTATCAAAAAAAATAAAAAAAGGGCCAACATTTTTAATGAATCTAAACAACCTACTTCCTCAGATATTATAATCTGAAGACAACAAAGTGACTTCTTACGTCAAGAACAGTCAGATTATGTTTGACATTCATTCACACTTTACACAATGAAGATTAGTGAAAAAAGACTCGAGAAGCAGTCATTTTAGTTACTTGAGACCAATACTCAGAGTGGCATAAGTATTCAGGATCAAGAACATAAGCAGGACAAAGCACATAACATTCCTAACTTCACAATATGTATGCAAGGGTGCAAATTTGAAAGGCTTTAAATCTACAATATACATAAAACATCAATTCAAAGTGCACAAAATATACCAGTCAATGGTTTGAGAACATAGAAATCACATATTCCATTCAAAAATAACCCTGTCCACTGTTATGTTCACATAAGTAATCAAGAGAACAATGAGACTGGATCAATGGTTCAGTTTACCATTTTAGGCTCATTTGGCTTAGCATACAGCCACTGAGGAGACAATGGAATGCTCTCAGACACTGCTTGATCTGTGACAATAAATCAATATAGAATCAGAAAACGGAAAGCAGACATGAAAGGGATCATGAGAAACTTACTACATCGTTATAATAACCTGAAATGCTTACTTACCCTTTGATTCATCCAGTAATCCAGCCAATCCCCTGTCTTCATCTTTTCCCAGTGAAGCTTTATTGAATAAGATTTCAAAAATACATCAATATTTAAGGCAAAATATTAAGCTCTACAAGGACACTTTCGCAAGTTAATAAACTGCAAAATTCAAGAGGGATTCAGAGCTAATTGAAACACTACACATCTACTTCACAGGTGTGGAAAACTAATATAGAAGCTTCAAGCTAAAGTTCAAGATTGATTTCTAGTGGAAAACTTTTAACGTCCACCCGATTTTTCGAAGTCCAATGTTAGAAAAAGGTAATAGTAAAAGAAATCAACTCATTTTCATCGTTCCAAAATCACTCAACATTGAATTAAATCTTAGATTAAAATAAAATCTGGGGTGAAGATCCTGATTCTTAAACCTTGGACCAAACTAAAGGGCAGCAGATCAGAATATCAACGGACAGGATCCTGTGTATGATAGCCAGATCCAATCGGGTACAATAAACTGCAGCACGTAAAATATTGACACGACATCTAAAGCAGCAATCTACCTTTCGGAGTCCACAGTTGATCGGCCGGCGTAGATGTAATGAGATCCTCCGGAAGGTTCAACTTACTCTCCGCCATCACACTAAAGATATTTCACAGAATTTCAGCGAACAATCAAACGCCTCCACGAAATTCGCACCAAAAGAAACGCAAATAGAGAGTAAAAGATAAAGACGGAATACAAATATTCAGAATGAAAGAGATCCCACAAGCAAATTGACAGGTAAATACATGTATGAATGTATGAGTGGAGCGACAGCGATAATTAGGGTTTGTGAGAGCACTTGAAAATGGTTGAGAGAGAGAAAGAGGGAGCGTAGGGAAGGAGAAAAAAAGAGGGTGAGGGTTTGGGTGGTGAGAAGAACGAAATCAAATAATTGGTGACGATGAAGAGTGGTTGAATAGAGATAAAATATTTTTTATTGTATTTGTTATATAAAGTGAATTAATTTTTAAATAATTTTTTTTTCTTTTTTTTTTTTAAATAAATTGGTTTAACCAAAATTGGTGAATTTGTATTTAATAATATTTGAAATGCAATATTAAAGTTATTTTGATATATAAAAGAATGAGAGACGTTACTGAAATAATCATAGATAAAATATTTTTCAGTGGATAAATATTGAATTAAAATTTTAATTTGTAATGATTATCGATTGATATTATTATAATATTTAGTAATAATAAGTAGAGTTAGGTTAGATTAAATTTGAGTTAGATTTTAAATTAAGTAGTGTAGAAAAACTAGGTTTAAAAACATTTTGTCATCTGAAATATCATGAAATTTCGCAGCTTGCCATATTAACTTTTTTTTTAAGAAATAGTAATACGACTTTGTATTTTTTTCATTTCGCCCCCTAAGCCGGATATAAAGTGGTTTAAAAAAAACTGATTTTTACGACATTTCAGAAATTTTGTACATTTCAAAAAATAAATAAAGAAATAAAAGAAAAATAGAGAATGACGGGCATGCCTTATGTAGCCGATATGGTCAGAATGATGGGTGGCTCGACAAGTCCGCAACGGAGGTTCCGCCGAAGGGGAGGATCATGAAGAAAGTGTCGTCGGCAAAAACTGGAACCGGCGCGACAATGGGTGAAGCTCGACGCGTCGTCAATGAGACAACGACGGAAAAAGTTTTCGATATCTTCAGCGCGTCGTTCACCGAAACAACGATGGCAGGCAAGTTTCTGGGCCTCATTGATGGCTGGCATGACTTGCTCGAGCAACCAGCGACTGGGCTCACCATCAGATATGTGGTCGATCTCCCATGTCGGTTGAATATGCGGGTCGCGCACACCGCTGACATCTGGATCCGGCGACGATAGCCCTCCACCTTCGTGTTGTCTCTAGGGGTGGTGGCATATCTGGAAGATCTGAAATTTCGATGCTCCCAAGGAGGGAAATACTTGAGAATTACATAAAAATAGATGCACATATATATGCATATGAACTTCACATAAGTTTTAATGTACTTTTTAATTTTTTTTAATACACAAAACCCCTAAAAAATGGGTTAGTAGTTGAGAATTTTACAATGGTTAATTTGTTATATTTGGAATATCCAAAAATTATAATTTGGTCATGCGGTATTTTTGCGATAATTTAAAAATTTGTAATTCCCAAAAGCCTTTGTAAATCAGTTTTTTTGTTACAAAACCTTTTTAAATATGGTTTTGAAGGACAAACTGAAAAAAAAATAAAAAAATAAAAAAATAAAAAAAAAAACTTGTAGTTTATATAGTTGTTTGCCAAAAAAAAAATGATATGGTAAATTGCGAATTTCGTGATAGTTCGGATGAGAAAAAGTTTTTTAAACCCAAAGAACTATTGTTGCAGTATAGTGTAGAAGCTCTGTTTTGTCTTACTCCCAATTTCATTGTGAATGAGATTCATGTTTTTTTTTTTAATGAGATTCATGTTTTTAGTCAAATGAATGCTTGTAGTTCATTTATTTATGCGAACATAGCCCTTTTATTTACATTGTAGATAATATAAATATTTGTGCACAACCCAGAAAAAAATGAACTATTGTCGTAAGGTTGCAGTGTGATTTTCGAGTTAATAGTTGATATTTGACTAATGAATTACACATGTACATCTTAGATCTATTGAATAGATCTACAAAGGATAAGACTATTTATACTGACCAAATAAACAATTTAGACTTCATAATTGTCATGTTCACTTAACCCTTAAGATAATAAACGGGCATGTGTATTCAGTTAGTATTTATTTAGTTTACCAAGGGTGAGACTTATAATGATAGTTCGATAGACTCGGTATTTTGATAAATATTTTCGATTACATGATATGTCGGTAAAATTGTTTATGGTCACTGTGTCCCAGTGTGTCAAGTTGATGACGTCCCCGAAATGAGCTCAAGAAGGATTATTATGTCAAGCCTGATCGACGGATTTAGTTCTGACATAATAATAAAGAATTGAGTGGTATTATTTTTAAATCGACGAATTAATTAATTAATTATATTATCAGTAATTAAATTAATCAATGAACGTTAGATCTTAAACATGGAGAGGTAAATTAAGAAATTAATCAGAAGACAAATTAACTGTAATTCAAGCGCTAAATAAGGAGCTAAATAATATTTCTCTAGTGGAATGAAATAATATTCAAGTGTGAATGGAGTGTGTTAGTCCCACAGTTGTTAGAGATATGCTGTAAAAACTATGTTTTGCAGATTCTATCGATTCCATTTTGATCTGGCCATCATGTTTCAGTCAAAGTACATATGTTTGCAGTTTGTTTATTTATGCAAATTATACTCCTTGTCTTATATTAAGATAGTGTGGTTCGAAGTGTTTCGGACAGAAAGATCACCTATCGGTTCCTTATAAACACTAAACTATTCATTCACAGTCTAGACAGACAATGAGACCCCTCTTGGAAAAAGATTGTAGTGTATTCTTGATTCAGTTGGTCTTTGACTGAAGAATTGTACTAGCACTTATGATATGTGTTGAACAGGACCACATAAAAATTGATGACGTCCCCGAAATGAGCTCAGGAAGGTACATTATGTTAAACCCTGCAGGTAGACGATTGTCACATAATGGTCAATGATCTGAGTGGAACTAATTTCAGAAATGAATAAGAAGTTGATTATATATTTTGTCAGTAATTTAATTTATCAACGGACGTTATATCTTAAACATAGGGAGGTAAATCGATCAATCAGATTAACATAATTAGTCATGGAGGTTCAAATTTATTGATAAATTAGGAACTAAATGGGGAGAGCAATAATATTACTCTAGTGTGATGTTTTATTATTTAATTCCATTTAATAAAAAATTAATTTTATTCCATATTTATTATTCCATGGGGAAGGGAATATTCCTACAAGAATATTGTCTAATGTTAGGAGACTTGAGAGTCTTCTAGAAGGTGATGATTAGTATGAGAGGTCTATCATTGTTTGGATTAGTAGATGGAGTAGAATTAGGATTCTTTGGCCTAATGGGATAAGCCCATATTTAGCACCTCTTTAAGGTCCCTAATGGAGCATATAAGTACACCATGTCCCAAGCTCTTGCACATATGCTAGGTTGGCTGATTTTCTCACCTACACACACGAGAGAAATAACATTGTTCGAGAGTTAGGGAGATTTGATTATTCGCTCCACCAGATTAATCGAAGTCAGTGTTAGGTAATCCGTTAGAAGACTTTTGGGTACAATATATTCAAGCCTTTAATTTATATATTTTCGGTTATCTTCTCCTGCCGTCTGCCGCCGTCGACCGCCGCCAAAAATTGCCACCGCCGTGCATCGCTGCGGGAAGCCACTCGAGCCCAGTCGATCGCAACCGCAAGCTACCGCTCGCAGTCGCGCACAATCATGCCCGACTCCAACTTCCAACAGCGACGCCAGCAACGCCCGCGAGCTCCCTGCGCCGTCTGCCTACTCGTGACCCGTGTCGTAGTCGTTCCCAGCGCGCGAGGAGAACCCGCGCCCAATCCGCGCATGCCCAGGTTTCTTGTCGCGCACGCTCGCGTGACACCAGTCGTCTGCGCCCGTCCGCCTCGGCATAGGAGTACCGCCCCGCGTGCACACGACGCCCCAACACGTTGCCAAAGCCCGACCGCAGAGCCCAGCGACCTGCGCGTCACGCCCAACACCCGACATGCACCTGTCGCTGTCCGCGACATGCCAGCGACCAGCGCCCGAGACCAGTCTACTGTACCCAACACTGAGATCTAGCAACCGTGTGACTGAGCTTCATTTGATTTCTCGATTAGAATCGAGTAAAGGCCAAATCTATCTGGCCAGTAGATTGTGGTGTTCAGACGAACTTCGTCAATGGTATTCTACATCATCTATGAGTCGGCAAAAATTTTAAAAGGTAATGTCCATATCCTAACTATAGATTCCGCTGCGTTAGGATTTATTTCGATAAGTTCAATACAGCGCGTGTCGTTGTCGTTCCTCATAGAACCCAACAACAGTTAGGTTAACACTTGGGGAGTCTATATTTAGAACCTCTTTAGGGTCTCTATTGTAGCCTGTCAATACACTATTGGTGTTTATATTGAAAGCTTTTCTTTGGATGACATTTGTACTTTATCTATGTTAAATGAGAATCATTTTGATTAAACAAGTTATATGTTCAATTAATTTACACTTAGATATAATTCATTCATTAACGGGTAAACAGAAGATCATTTTATCAGTCACTTGCAAAACAAGAATTGTTGGTTCACAACCTAGATAGAAGTGAACAAACCATCAGAACGATTGTAGTGTCAACTGTACAATTAGTCTTGACTGATTAGATGCACTAGTACATTTATGTATTGAACAGGATCTCAGAGAGTAGTAGTTTGTTTTGTACTGACCGTCGTAAACAAACGTTGTCTCTGTAAATTACTGCGTTCTTTTAACCCTTATGATATAAACAGGCATGTGCATGCAGTAGTTATTGCTTTGATTCACTGAAAGTGAGATTCGATTTACGAGATCGACATACTTGATGTTTTGGGTAATAGTGTTGCATGTACGATGTGTTGTAAGAATATTTACGGTCACCATATTCGTTATGGTGACTAGGATCTGACT